TTTGATTACATGCTGTATGATGATCTATGGAATTGATCACAAGATAGCTACGCACTCTAAGGTCCGGTAAATGCGCTGCTAATTAAAAAAAATTTTAGACGAGGTATGGTGAATATTTTTTCACCGACATTCTCTGAAAGGTACTATGTTAGTTGACTAGTCCCACCTGGTGTCCTTGTATTGACATGTTATTAAATTATAAAAAGCGCTATCTTTTGTTATAAAATAAACTAAACAGAGGGAGCCGAGTGCGTCCTTTTATGATATTTTCTGCCTTAAGTGTGTATATTTATTGATAGATTTAACCGATAGCGCATTTACCAAGCCTAATATCCTTGTTATTCATTGCGGCTTCCACGGACAATGTATGTCATTCAAAGTGAAAATGCACCCTTAGTGTCAAAATTAGTGCAGTGTTTTTCTGTTACCAATGATGTGTCTTGTTACAAAAAAGTATTCTTGTCATTTGTAAGAACTGTAAGTACAAACTTATTAATGCTTTTCTTATAATTGAACATAATTGAAGGATTATTTCTTGAATTTCTATATTATCTTTATTGATTGAGAAATGTATTTATATGAATGTTCACTTATATGTATATTTGATAATCTAGTATAGAAGTATCCATTTAAATAAAAAAATTCTCGGCTTCCTTATCAGCCTTTTAATGTTAAAATCTTTGTTAGAATATTGCGCTGCATTTGTTTAATTTGTAAATTGAAGCTTTAAATGTTTAAAAAAATCAAAAACTGCATTCACCAAAAATGATTAAGAATGAATAAAATAACTGATGTAAATATACCAAATAAAACAATTCCAACACTAAAAGTTCATTTTTATTTTTATCCTTTGACATCTGAAACATTTATAGGTAGAAAATGAAATCAAACAAGAAAGTGAAACAGAATCTTCGCTTTATTCAGCAATTTCCGGTTGAAAAAAAAAATAATCAACAAAACTACACTGAAATTCTGAACGTGACTATTTTTACAAACAATTTACAGCAATTTGTTTTAAGTGCGGGTGTTTTGAATACCTCCCCCGGCTTGTACAGGAGCGGGGCGGCGCAGCGCGGCGCGGCGAGCTAACATTCCACTAACTAAAACATTTAAAGTAATATTTACAAGGAGGAAACAAATTACAACATGAATGCTCTTGCATTGGCAGCCCGAGAGGAAGCTGAGGAAAATAATCGCAATTCTTTAAGAAAAGCATTCAAAATACCCGCGACAGCCTAAACTAGAAATCAGAAACTTATGAGGTACACATCTTCCTATCCACTTTACTAAGCGTATGGTTACCGGCCCCAAAAATGAGGCCATTTTTTTTTACATTTTTTTCCCAAATTTGCAGCCTTTTGTACAGTATATGATACTTACTAATTATATATGTATAGACATAGTTAAAACAGTTACACTTTTTTTTGGTCGCGAGTTATTTTTCTTAGCAGATCATTGGGATCAGGATCTGATATGAAAAATTCTCACTGAATTTTTTTAAACATTGAAACAACAGGACTTTTGCGTAAATACGATTCGATATAAGTTTCGCACAGCTAGATTTAAACCCAATTCTTAGTTACATTAAGTTAGACAATGACGATATTAATTTTTTTTCTTGCATTTTTTCTGTAATTTTCTAACAAGAATCAAATCGAACAGACATTTTTAAATTTCAACGCCGAAAAAGAAACTACACTTTAACAATTTGCCAATTTAGCAAACATTCGATGACTGAACTGAAAAATTGATAATATTTAATTCTACCTACATGTGTCAACTACACGTATCCTAAAATTTTAATGGACACATATCTTTCTAAAATTCTAAAAATACATCACCAATTATGATATTTTTGGTAACCGTCCCATATTGCGGTTATTTAATTTTTTTAATTTATAAACAATGGAGTTAACAGGGTCAAAAGTTACGACGTATGAATTTAGTTCAACTGAATGGTCTTTTGAATTTAATGATCGCGGCAAAACTATAGTTAGAAGCAGTAAGAAATTAATCGTGATACAAAACGTTTCCAAAAATACACAAACATTTTATCTGTATTCTCACTTCTGTGTCATTTTTCAACAAGATTTTTTATTAATTAACCATAATATTTCCTCGAGAAATCTGTAATTAATTTCTTTTGTTAATTGTAGTTTCTTCATCAGTATAAACAACAACTGTGGAAACATTTAGACAGAGAAAAGGCAAACATCTCGATTAAAACTTACTACGCCTTCTAGTGAAAGCTTACTAATTTAGTCACAATACACGAAGCTCCGCCGATACGATATTCATATTAACGATACTTCGGAAACGAATTCCGATACTTCTTATATAAACGTCAATTACGAGCGCTATTCCTCCGATCCTATACATCGTGAATAAACGCAGTCTCAGGGCTTATCTCGAATATTCGTGAAAACAATTTCGTCGACGATTGTTGCAGCGCCCCTACAGGGCTTAAATTACAACAAATCTCGTACAAACGTCGATCACGTTACGAATGTCTCGCAACTGCAAATATACGTGATAGACCCCCTGTTTGTCAATACTTGAAGCCACAAACACTTACAATATAGTGCGTTATGGCTTTCGTCTAGAAATGTATTAATAAATATATTACTGGAGTACTACAATTTCAACTTAGTAACTTAACCGATTGGAAATCTTAATGGCCCAACAGGTTTGGACATGGTAAAAAATATTGATTGCATATGTTATAATAAAAATTTAAAAAGCACTATGAGATTAACTTAATCTAATTCCCTTGTTAAATTGACGAATGAAGAAACAATATCGTCCAATTTTGTGACACAGAAATTAAAAAATAACTTTCTATTAGGAATGAAATAGCGTTAACGGAGACTCAACCTATTGGACCCTAGTTATTGAAAACTAATAAACGTATTGATTTAGAATACACATGAGAATAAATTTTAAAGTATTTGAATAGTTAATATTTATGGATTTCCCTTTCGCACTTATTACATATAACAAAGCGTGCGAACAGAATATCTGACAAAAATATTTGATAATACATATTAATAGAGGAATACGAAAAGCGTATTTAAATGTAAAATTTTTAAACTTACTGAATTTTAAAGACAATTCAATTACGACCGAGATTAGATTGTTAGATATGAAAACTGACGTCATATTACGTAGCATACTAATATCATGAAGAGGAAAGGTTTGTATTTTTACATGTATTGAAATAACTCACAAACTACTGGGCCTTTTTTAAAAATTCTTACACCAGTAAGCTACGTTATTAATGAGTTACTTGGGGTATGTTTTTTATATTTACGGACAAAGTCGCGAGCAACCGCTAGATTCAAAGTAAGAATAAAAAGAGAGTTATTTCAAAGGTACTCATACATCATTTTCCTCTATTAACATGTACAAAGAATCATAGTATATAGTGCGCACAAAACATTGACTACACCGTTCACTGGTCCGGCCAGATACATTAAGTAAATAATTTACAAATAAACACTATATAATACAAGATACCTATATTACATTATATATTACACACATTGAATATACACTCGACATATACCATTGTTTATTTCCTGTTAAAATATACTAGAATGTTCGCTAAAGGAAACTCAAGCAAATAATGCCAGCCGTGTCAAATTTTACTATCAAAACCAATTGAAACAAGTCACTAAGAGAGCCGCTTAATGGAGGTTTAAGCTATCTACACTAAGGGACTGCTTAAGTAACTATTATCCCGAAGTCAGGCAGTGATGTCCTATTTCCAATTAGCGGCACGTGGCCGCAAGTTTATTTCCAGAGGTGCCGTTAAGTGGAAAAAGGCACTGAATGTATTAAAATTGTGGTAATTTTGATTTTAAATTTTATGATAAGCACAAAGTCCGGCAGTCGCTTAGTTTCCGTATTAACTATGTCACAGCCACTTAAATTTACTTTTGACGAAGCTTGTTTTATAATAAAGAACCGTACACACTACAAGCAGTTAACACTGACGAAATATTCACACTAAAACCGTTTTTATATCAAAAATCAAATAGACTACCTTAACGAAACCTTTTAATGAAATTTTACAAAAATCGTAATGAAAACGTTTAAATGTGAATGTTTCGTCAATGTAAACGGTTAACAATAAAAAGTTCTCGCTAACTCACTTTGTTAATACAAAGACAACTCAATTTCAATACACTTAAAGTCGATTTTACTATATGCAATAATCATTTTATAGGAGTTTTGACATAACTGAGTGATATTGACAAAAAAAGTAATTGGACATACATTTTATTATATTATTTAATTTTAATGATTAAAATCATCAGCTACAATAAGGGTCCATTCACAAAAACCGGGGCGGAGAGTATAGTAAATTTTTATGCCAAACAAAATTGAGCTTTAGACAATTGGAACAAGGTTTAAATAGTTTGCAATTTTTTAATTTATTATCTATATAAAATCTGCTTTGCTCCGCTCCAATCTGTGTACTGACCCTAACGGATAAGATAATGACATTTTTTTATGATTTATTTATAGTATTTTTATATATAGCGGTTGCAGCCTTTTGCCAATTTATTTAAAGCAGTCTATAGTAGTTTTTACATTTTTTATAATTATACATCGACTATTTAAAAACATCAATCAAACGGGCGCCAAAACAGCCCAATGAATCTAATTTATATCCTTATACCGCAAACACGCCATTTACATTTGTAATACATAAGAAATATATAAAAAGTTTGCTATTGAATTATTGTAACAGTTTTGTTAAGACTGCGTCGGATTTTGAATTTACTTACGCTGTATATAAGGTAGAATATAAAAATTCAGTAAAGATTAAATTCTTCATCAATATTTGAAATTTGTCAATATTTTAATTAGAAAAGAATTCCTTTGATATTATAAAGTTTAAGTCGACTTCAACAAAACTGTACAATAGTTCACTAACAGACAGGAATGATCATTTAACTGGCGCTCCAACGCAATTCGATGTAAGAATTTCTAGTAATTAATAAATACCTAGTTAATTAAGTAATGACTTAAAATTATTCCTTGTTTTTTTTTCCTTAATGACGTCGCTATAAACATATCATACACGGATACCAGGAGAGCCAAAGCAATGGAATCATATTTGGTATTAGGTAATGATTTAAAAAACACGTGAGTTTATCCTCACGGAGCCCTATCACTTAAACAACTGTACAAATTCATTAAAAAAAAATTAAAACAAAAAAACAAACATAACTGTCCATTTGTTTACTTCACGTGCACCCCC